AACTACAAATGTTGATCTCCCACTCAATGCCGACATGACATATTTCCTCTCTGTTAAATCCAAATGTAATTTTGGATCCTCTGAAAACGAGCTAGCATCAGCACGAAAATAATACACCATATTATCAGTTCCACGAACGAGAATATGAAGTGCAAGAGGTCCACTCACAATTTCCTTAATCCCCAAACTGGAATCATCCATAAATTTCTTTGACTTGTGTAAAGTTCCAGATGAACTTTCAATAGCCAATATCAACTTATTCCTCATTTGTAATATTATGAATACCTGATTACAAAACACATTTTCCACTTGATAACAATTTCCCAATTTCAATTCTTCTATAGCCAATCGATAATCCAATTGATAAAACGGATTACTATCATTATTCAACACATCCACACTCGTATCACCACCACCATTCACATTCCGAAATGCATCATTCATCACAACATAATTAAGTGATTTAAAGTAGGGTGATTGAGTTGTTTTAGGTGTTGAAAACTTGATATACAACTCTTCAGCAGCAGCATTATTCAATGCTTGATTACCAATAGAATCCCACAATCGCACCACAAAAAACGTTCCACCACAACTAACACTCCTCACCGACCGATCAATTGTTGTTGTTGTTGTATTGATATTTGGATGAAGAGGAGAGGGCATAAAATCGGAATGAGGAACGTAGACTGGAGTCGTTTGTATTCCCAATGTTAGAAGGGGAATTGTATTCATCATCATTAATAACTATTTTAATAAGTTGTGATCAAAAATTAGTGATTGAAACAATTGGTGATCTTTGATGATCCGAATTTTTGTATTTTTTATAATGAAAAATCTAAAAAATGAAAAAGATTGAAATATGTTATTTAATTAATTCGTAGGTAAGTCAGTAGAGCCGTTATTTGTTATATTAGAGAATTCTTAAGGTTATACTCAATGATTGTGTAAGCTGGCGTAGCTCAGTCGGTAGAGCGTTGGTCTAATAAGCCATTGGTCGCCGGTTCGATCCCGTCCGTCAGCATTCAATTTTGTTTTTGAAATATAGTTTTTCCCATTCCACTAACAATGAATAATAATAGAATTGAATGAAGTCAATAATAATTTCAAAAAACAAAATCTAGTTTTGATTCATATGTTTTATTTGGATCCCAAATCGCTATTCGGATCATGCTCTCTAGTATGTAGGGATTACTATCCTGAAATTAGAGCAATACCATAAAATTGTAAACTTGGGAATTGAGGCAATCTATTCGAAACGAACATTGAACCTAATCAATGCTATACATATTA